TCCCCTGTGGGACAACGGCTGGTGCGAAAAGCGTTGGCGACATCTTCCAACCACCTGCTGCTAGCAATGGGGTCCCTATCCCCATGATAATCTGGAGCTCCACAAGCTCTGAACTCCCAAAACGTCAACGTATGTGTCCCCAAAATGGCCGCCATCTCAGTTCAGAATGCGCTCAACTTCTCATCAAGAATCGCCAAAATGCCCTCCTTGACCGCACCAAAGATCACACGAGTCTGGTAAATGATACTGCGCATAATCTCAGATGAAATGAACTCCCTCATCTGATCATCGAGCTGCCCGGCTCCAGAGTCCAAGCCTGATCCATCTCCGGCACCAGAACTGCCATCTAGTCTACCACGTAGCGTCACCATACTCAAAAGTATTCCATAACAATCATCCAAATACTCATCATAAATCGAGGGATCACACACGCTACAAGTTCCCTGGTTTTATCTCAACCCTCCTTGACTCGGGTACGAATCCTCTGCTTTCAGTAGTACGGGCCCATACTACTTTCCACATCTATCCGTACTTTCCTCAAGAATTTCCTTGACTCCACTAAGTCACTTTCGCTACTACTGCTCTCATCGCTAATATCATCCTAGGCTTACCCTAGGGTAATCTCCAACCCACTCTCCACCATCAGCTACATAAGAAGTCCCTGCTACCTTTCCCTAACTAGCTCGCGAATACAATTACATATTACTAAGACCAGATAACTCTTCGAATGAGAGGTCTCTCCCTACAACGGTTGGACTTCGAATGAGAGGTCCCGCCCGACATCGAGCAAAGCTCGGTATACATATAAACATATCAAAAAATACACATAGCATAATTACATAACATAAGCATGTAAACATTCCTTTGGCCCCGCCCGACATCGGACCGTAATCCGGAAAGCATACAAACATTCCTAGGGCATTTTCCGGCATCGGACCGTAATCTGAAAACATACAAATACAGACACATAAAAGAATCATGAAGACATCAAGTATAAAAACATTCCTCGGGTACCGCCCGTCATCGGATCGAAATCCGGAAAGCATATAAACATACATCGGGCACCGCCCGACATCGAACCTTAGTCTGGAATACATACAGTCATAAATACGAGCCGCCATTGGTGCCTTCGACCCGTTCATATAGGAGGAAAACTCACCTCGCACTGTTGAAGTCCCGCGAATAAATCTATGGCTGCTGGCTGACAGATCCCCGAACTGTCAACATCAAAACAAAACCCAATTAACCATTTGGGTTTCAATGCATAACCATAAATCCACACGTGGGGTAAAAGGACCATTTTACCCCTAACCTAGCTTGGTCCAAGACCAAGGCCCAACTCACACCCTAAATGCCCAAAAGCCAAATAATCAACCAAGGCCTAATTATGGCCCAATTTTCCAAATTGGGACCAAACCCCTAACATGGGCCTTACCCTGAAGCCCATCCAAATAATCAAGTCCATATACTTGTTCTTGGATAGCCCATTAAGAACCCAAACACCTAAGCCTAAAAGAAAAGGCCCAACTCGAAGCCCAACATAATTAGGATTTTCACATAAAATGACGATTAGGGTTAAGTGTTCTTACTTAATCCATTAACTCCATCACTCCACTAGGCCAAACATACAATGTAATTGGGCATAAGTCATACTTCAATCCACTGGTCCAAACGCGGGTCCCTGCAATCCAAAACTAACATCTCCAAAATTAGGGTTTTCTAAACCCTAATTAGGGTTTCCAACCCAATCACAAGACAATTAGTCCAGTGGTTAGGTTTTTAGGTCAATTAGGGTTTAATTAGGCCGAACACCACCCATTGCCACCTCGGGTAATGGTGGTCAACGGCGGCTCACATTGGCAGCCACCACCTCATAGCGATGGTGGTGGTTTTCCTTCATTTCTTCCGCCAAGATTTGCTTGAATAATCTCATTCCATTAAACACACACATCAACACTATAACACACACATCAAAACTATAACACACACAGCCACCACCATACGGTGGCTGGTGGTGGCAGAGCGGTGGTACAAGGTGGCAGAAAAGAAAAAGTGGCGACAGCCACCATGGTTGGCAGCCATAGTGATTTTTCTCGTTCTCTGGCCAACAAACACCCGCCAAAGGTATTGAAACACAAACACACACACACACATGGGCATAACACCCACCACATAGCAGCACATCGGACTTGGATGAGGAGGACGATGACGGATGAAATAGCTACAGCGGCGGCGTCGACGTCTTCTGGACAGAAGATGGAGAAGGGCGATCGGAGTAGCACCGATGACTGACGTGATACGTTAGTGGATGGCGATAGAAGGCATAAGAAGAAGAAGACAGTGGAGAAAAGGTGGCAGCGGACGTACTCACGGTGGTCACTCGATCTCGCCAGTGACAAGAGTGACAGTGTTGGTGCTCGGTGGCTCGACTGATCGGAAAACGAGCAAAGCGGATGGTGGCAGCTGAAAGGTCTCACATGGTGGCTTAGGAAACATGTGCTAGGGTTAGGGTTGGAGGTGACGATCCTTAATATGGGAGGGAAAAGACCACCGGGTTCAAGTCCCGTGTTCTATTCCAAACTTCATTCCTTTTTTTCAATTTTGGTCCCTCTCCACAAAATACTTTTCAATTTAAGTCCAAAATTACCCTTTAGCTCTTTCCTCCAAAAATCCCTTCATAATAAGTCCAAAATTACCAATCAGCCCCTAACATCCAAAAATCTATTTATAACTAGTCCGAAAGTTACACTTTAACCCCCATTACCCAAACATAATTCTTTTAACTCCCATGGCTAACACTAATTCCTTATTATGGAGTTAGGGCTAAATAAAATAAAATTTACATCTCGGGGTTTAGGTTTTATTATTTATTTAATTTAAACGGAATGTTACACGGTCAGTTTCAATAGTTTTAAGCTGAATTGGCTTCAAAGGAATTTATGTGCCAAAATAGTTCAAGAAATCCTATGTTCCTGGGTTATGGATGATTCTGATGCACATTATCATGAAGGGTCTTTCTGGAAAGCATGGTGGCTCTAATTCGATGAGAATGGTTTGGTTGTACTTGTTCTACATCATCTAGACAGAGAATAATAATGTTATTGATCTTCTAGAAGTCATGTGGAACGACTTTTGGAAATTTACTCAACGTCAGAAGAAGAACGAGATCTCTAGTCCAAAATTATGGGCTCTTACACTGCAAAAACTCCATGAAAAGAAACGATAATCCATTTTGATCAACACATTTCTCAATCAGGTATATTTTTCCTTTAAATTTACTAAGACTTACTGGCTTCCGTACCAAACATGTTTCAATACTGTCCGACGTCTTCCCAAACATATGTTAGATGCTCTCCTTTCTGAACCTCCTTTTAAAATCAAAACATATGTAGGATTTAGAATTAGGTGACCCACTAACTCCTACCTATTCCTCAGATGTTCCTTCTTACGAAAGAGAGAAACTAGCAAAATCAGGTGGCAGAATAAAAATTATTTCCAAAAAGAGACCTGCCACCTCTCCCTTAAAACCAAAGGCCAAAAATAGATCCAAAACTGGTGATTCCTCTCAACAGGAATCACTGATCGGTAAAATACCTGACTCTAGGTTACAACCAAACCTACCCATCTATTCATTCGAAGTACCCTTCAGAGTCTCATCATCACTCACATACACTCACGGGGATTCAACACATAATCTACCCCCATCCTCTCAAAAGGATAGTATCGCTATTGAACAAAGTCTATGGAAGCCCCTTGGACAAACCCATGTGGCATTCTTATGCCTTTTCATTCAACACTTGCATGATTTTCGACATCTGTTGGAAATGCCAAACAAACTGAATTTGGGATTGTCTATCCCATTTTGATTGCCTCAACCAAACTGATACCCACCACGAGTAAAGGAAGTTCGGGTGCTACTGATCGATCATGGGATTCTCTTGTTAATAGGATCCAGGCGAGGCATCCATACAAATATGTGACCGACATCACAAACTTTCTCATTGGTCATAGAGTCCAAGATGCAAGCATATTTCCATGAGAATATAAGGTACCTAAATATGATGATGTCAATGTCATTTTAGCTGAAGCTTCTGAAAAGTTTGGAAAGATTTTTGCCAAGACAACCGATGATGTTCCCAACGTTTTGGATGATCCATCGGATGCTTTTGAGAAGAACACAACTCAAGAGTCGAGTGTAGATGTTCCTAAGCCCACAACATTCTTAGATGATCCTCATTAGAATGATGTTGAATGTGATATTCCCGACTCAAATCCTATTTCAGATGATCCACCTTCTGATGCGAACAAACTAGTAGGAGATGTGCCTGTACCAACTAAGGTTTCAGAGAATCCTCCCGTCATTGTTAAAGAAGAAGATGAAGCAAGTGTGGAAATGCTATTTGAAGAAGTCGATCACTAGTGTTCAGAAACCTATCGAGTTGCTTAAGTTCAGGCAACCCTCTTCCTCCAAACCTCAAGTTGTGTTTAACATACAATCCTCTTTGGATGAGATGGAAGCAGGCGGTGATGATGAAACTGAAGGTCAGCTAGAAAAGACAAATGAATCTTCAGATGGATCTAGCTTGGATACAGACTCATCAGATGAGTTATCCGTTGATCAGTTCCAAATTCTTGAGATTCAAGATAAAGTCATGTTAGTCGATGTCAAAGTTAAATATGTGAATGCTCAAGTTAGTAAACTTGACTCCAAAATGGATCTCGTTATGAAATCCATTTTCGAGATAAAATCATCCACTCCCACTACTAAAGACAGAGAAGCCCAGCTAGATCAACTCATCTCTTTATGGCTAAAGCACTCTATGGAGGAATTAGAAGAGCGCTAGAAGGTTAATCTCTAAAATCACATCGACACAGTTAAACAGATGTTGAAAATCCATGATGACATGCTCTTTGCTACAAACGAACTCATCAAGCAGACTCATGTTCGTCATGAGAAGCAAATTCAGTGATTGGAGAAGGAGATAAAGGCTAAAGATGGAATGAACTTTGTGCTCCAACAAGTTCTCATCAAAATAATTTGGTCTGCCCAACGCTTTGTGGACATTCCGAATTACAAGTTTGATGAAGTATTGTTGATTTTCAAGGAAACTTTGGATGTCCTCAAGAAGAAAGATCCCAGTGCTGAAGCTTGCGATAATCTTAAAAAGATTGTAAATATAATCTTTTAGAAAGTCTTCTAAAAATTTGGTGAACTAAAGGAGTAAGTGCTTCTTGCATTGAAGGATGGTCCCTCTGATGCAATAGGGGGAGAAAGAAAAAATGGTCGTTGGAATTGGACAAATGAGTTCAAACTTCGTGATGAACCTTCCGAGGATGGTGACATCATGAAGGATGCCACAAATGAAGAAGAGAAACAAATTGCTACAACTGAACAAGAGCATCCTCCCTTTGAAAAGTTCATAACAGAAGAAGAGAAAGCAGAATGGTTAACCTGGCCATCCAGTCTTGTTGACTCTGTGAATAAAAGCATTCAAGTTGCCAAGGTTAAAACACAACTCAAAATTGATGTTGTTCGAGCCACCCAACCAAAGTCGATTCCGATACCTCCTCCAATTATCTTTTTAATCGATGAAGGCACTCCTATATAGACTGATGATGGATTACCTACTTCGAAAATGGTCATTCCAATTTCTGAAGTGATAGTATCTCCTGCTGCCCAATAGATTATCAACATATCAACTCTAGGAGCTCTTATCAAATATAAATGCAAAGGGATAGAAGTTGAAAAGATCATCCCAATGAAGTTGTTTGACCAAGCTGAGGGCTGGTCTCAAGAACAGATGTATCGATCTATTCAAGAAACTATCTTCCTTCAAGCTTTAAGGGATAATCCAAATCCCTTTACCGACATCTCTCCATACTTCCTAAAATTTTGTATGTACAACTTCCATTATGTGTCCTATGTGAGCTATGCTCTTCTAACTTCTGATTTCGAGCAGCTTGACCTTCCGATCTCTTCTCACAGAAACTTTTACAAGAAGTTTGATGTGACATCCCCATTTTCACGGCCATAAAAGACCGATTTTGTTTATGCTTTATAAAAACCAGAGTACTTCTTTTAATAAAAATGTTGCGGAATTTGTTCCCAGAAAAACATGATAAATGTGTTATCAAAGCATTTCCGAAGAAATGTATTTTTATTCCTTTTAAAACCTTGGGATGTCATTGTCAATACAGAAACATAAGCATAAACAGAACTTACATTATTTACACTAGTGATCTACATCTCTTTTAAATCTCTCAGTGTAAAGTAGCTTCATATCGACACCTGTGATACAAATAAGCTTGAGTGGGTCAGGTTGGGAAACCTGGTGAGTACATAGGGTTTTCAACCCACAATAATATAATTATTATGTTTAAACAACAAACAATCAAATCCATTTACCCATCTCCATTATCTTCCTTACTCTCAAGGGTCTACCCTAAGAGTCATCTATTCGTTTATTCCGAAGTCCCTTGCTTCCAGGGTTATAAGGCCGGCACTAAGTCCATAGCTGCCAATGCACTAATTCCATAGCTGCAAAAGTTCCTTCATCGGGTACTAAATCCATAGCTACCAGTGTAGGTACTAAGTCCATAGCTACCAACGTTTGTCCAATAGGCACTAAGTCCATAGCTGCCGGTGTTTATTTATTAGGCACTTAGTTTATAACTGCCAATGTTTACTCACATCATCTTTTATCTCTCATCATTCATCTACCCATGTTATACCCAACATATTTGTAGATATAAAATATGTATACAGTTTAAATTATATAAAACTCGTATAAAATCGTTCATCCAGCATAGATATCAAGTATACAGATAGTATGCACACATAGCACGTAATTTATATAAAATACTTCATATCTATGTGTAAGATGAAAGTAACTATGCACTCACCTGATTAGGTGGTGACTCGGTACTTGAACGGCGCTTCGTTATCTCAAAACAATTTTTCCTTGACCAAATCCTAGTATCAATACCACTAGGGTTTAGTTTTAACGTTAACCGTGACTAATTAATAGTCTAGCTATTATTATTATTATATAAGCGTTAAATAACACCCAATATAACTCATAATAATAGCCCAAATAATTATTTTAAGGACCTAATAACATTACTATAATTATTTAAAAGTTATATTAAAAATCGCGTAGGCGTAGCTCACTTACAGCGGATTTTAAAGAAAACCGGGCTTTGCTCGGAGCAGCGTTTCCGAAACCGAAAGATCCTTTTTTCTCGGGACTCCGGGAGTCTTGGGGCTTCCTTCGGGTGCTAGGGATTCACCTAGACTTTAGGGAGGGTTCAAAACCCTAGAGAGAGAAAGTAGTGTGAGAAGAAATGAAGAAGGTGTGAAAATTTCGGAAAGGGTCGCATGCTATTTATAGCCTCCAGCAGCCTCGGACTACGCTGCGCGTCCAGCAGCTACGCTGGGCGTAGTCTCGGATAGGGTTGCCAGGCGTGTTCCAACTGGCTCGCACTCGGACAGGACCCGGATAAGACCAAAGGTACGCGGGTCGTACCGGACCTCGTACGCGGGGCGTAGTGCGAAGCAACATGGCATTCATCGGATGTGAGGCTGGCCTTCATCGGACGGCTCAGATCGAGCCACGTCATCTATTTCACATCAGATTTCATGATTTTCTACTCCGACTTCTAAAAATCATAACTGTTGCATACGAGCTCCGTTTTTGACGTTCTTTATATCCACGCAAAGGCGGGAACATACTCTACAACTTTCGTTTAGACTCCGTCGGCTAATTTTGACTCTATTTGAAAAGTTATATTCTTAACAGGCCGGGACACGATTGGTCCGTTAAAATTTCATAACTTCTTCATACGACGTCCGTTTTCGTCTGTGTTTTTACCGATATGCTACTATTAACGAGATGTTCGATTCTCGTTTAGGTTGTATCGGCTAAAAACCGCTCGATCTAATATTCGAATTTCGGGCTGTACACTGCTAAGCCGAAACTTCGAAAAATCTTAACTTCCTCATACGAAGTCAGATTTGGGCGTTCTTTTTATGGACGCTCTCGGTTTAACGTATTCTACGACTTTCATTTAGATCGCTAAAGCTGAATATCGCTCTATCGTAAATTCACTATTTACGTTTCCTGGTGTCATGCCGGTTCCGTCGCGAAACTTCGACGAGCCATAACTTCTTCGTTATAACTCGGATTTCGGCGTTCTTTATATGTACGGAACCCTTGAGACACATTCTACAACTTGGTTAAGATTATTTATTCTAAATAATCTTTTGTCGAAAAGTCGTTTTCGACCCCTATTATCTTTAAATTGACTAGCTCGGATCTGCGGACGTTACAATTATCTCCCCCTTAGGATGATTACGTCCCGGAATCATCAACGAAACAGGGCTCGTATAATGACTCCATACGTCATATCTTCATCCTAGGTAATAATTATAACTTCTATATTCCTTCGAGTCTATCTCTTAGACTTATTGACTGCAAGCAGTACTCGATCGTGCACCTGCTCTCTATCTCAGGTTAGACTCCAAATTATGACCTATCATCATGTGATGCATGTTTAGAGTCAGGTCTCTTAGAGTCAAATTCTAGAACAGACTATACCTTCCTTCATGTTCTAATGGGATATAATCACATCTTCAAAGGTAGCATTCCTAGCTACAAGCAACTATCGCGATACCTCTACTGATCGCTTTGATTGTCTTTCACTTCAAGCTTCTAGCTTAAGTCAGATGCTACATCGGACTTGGTTCTCTGAACCACGTATCATACTCACCGTAATCAGACTCAATTCGATATGACCACCAGGGTCGGAATAACAACAATCGTATTAGTCATCACCGAATCGATGGTAACGACATGCTTGAGTAAAACGGAATCAATTACTAGCTTCTTGGTAACCTTGTGACTTTCCCTGATCCAAGCGTGAGTCCTGTGCTTCCGGTAGTATATGCATCTACTACCTTTCACACCTACTCATACTCGTCCCAAGTATTGTCTCGCAGTCCCCAAGTCACCATACAAGAAAATCACATAACAGTTTAACACATCAGATAACAAAACGAAGGCTTTATTATTTCTTGAAACTATTACATAGGTGTTCAAGTTCACCCTAGTCTATGCCTCTAATAGGCTACATCGTATGATTCTATCCCCTTGGCTACTTCATAACTTGATTTTCGGATATGAATTCCTTATCCTTGATTCCTCGCGTTATTGTCTGCTTCGTTGAGGATCATGTGGAATGCCCTTGGCTTTGGCGGTGCTTCTAGCCTTGTTGCTTCATTTTTCTTCGGGCAGTCTCTAGACATGTGCCCCTTGCCTCCACATCCGAAGCATACCTTATCATTTTGTGTACAATCCTTCGAATAGTGGCCGATCCTTCCACATTTGTAACAGGTTACCTCTTCGTTGCATCTTCCAAAGTGTTTCTTCTTGCACTTTTCACACCACTTGGCTCCATACCTTTGGTCATCCAGGTTAGACTTTGAGAACTTTTCCTTATTATCAGGTCTTGAGGATCCTTCAAGCTTCCTTTTCTCGCCAACTTCAGCTTTCTCCAGACCTTTTTCCCTTATTTGGGTCTCAACATTCTTGGCTGCCCAGATGGCGGCTTTCAAAGTGGTTGCTTGTTTGACCATTGGACCAAAGTCCGCTGGTAATCCATTGGCAAACTTGTTGACCTTGTAAAAAACCGTTGGAACTAGGTAGGGTACAAGCTTCATCTTTTCCGTAAAACTTGCAGCATACTCGGTGACACTCATCCTTCCCTTCTTCAGATTCTGGAACTCATTGTTGATCTCCAGAAGATCCTACTCAGAGCAGTACTGCATTTTCAGTTGCACCAGGAAATCTTCCCAAGACATCTTGCTTGCTTCTCCCTTGGGCATTGTGTTAGCTAGTAGCTTCCACCCAAGAAATTCTTATACATCCGTCCATCCTTGTCGTTTCCCCTCTCCGGGTCATTCCTTCGTTCTCATTGAGTCCCAACTTGACTCACATGGCAGCTATAGTTACCTTCCTCCGATTGCTCGGGAATCGTCTCTTGTTGAACAATGGGCACGGTGGCTTCGTCCCTATTCTCTTGCATCATTTGCCTCATTTCTTCCCTTTGTTCAGCTAACATAGCTCGCATCATGGCTTGTACTCCAGCCATGGTGATTGGCTCAGGTGCAACTTCTACTACGACAGGTATTTGCTGAATCACCGGGGTTGATTCCTATTCCCATTTGCATCCCCAGCTCCACTGCGGGTTCTTGCCATTTTGTTCTATACACCGAATAAGGTGAATCTAGATCTTAATTTAGGATTAACTTTTAAATAATCCTTATCACTCCGAAACGTTTATATGCTAGTTCTAATATCGTAGTTGTACGTTTAGAATCCTAAACACATAAGGTTTCCCGATCCGGTCGGCAACAGACCATAGATCCGAACAAATAATAGTATATAGCACGTAAAAGCATTTTAGGCACCTTTCCTAAAATAAGCTAGTGCTCGTGTCTATTCAGGTGTATTACCAAAATTTTATTAGACACACTCCTCACGATCATCACTTAGCATTCTAAGTTTAAGTCTAGAAATTTCCTACAAATTCCTAGTTCGCTTAAACTAAT